ACGAGACAAACCAACAACCTCGACCTACCAGTGTGTCGTACATCTGGAGGACTCAATAAGATACCGTGGAGTCAAATTACGGAACACGCATATTTATTTACTACTTGATGATTTTTTTGTCTTTTTCTAGATACAAATTGAGACTCAGAAATGCGTTGATGTCAGAAAGATTTGTGGTGAATAGTGAATTGTCCTGATTTTGTTAAATTGTCTACATACTGTGTGTCCTCTTTTGCTCTATTTTTTTATATTTTCAATGTTTGTATGTCATTTTCAATTGGGATAAATGTTATTTGTGATAGTAAATATTCTTACTTTGTTATTTTACTGTATTTTATTTGAACTTTGTTTAATTTTGTAAGGTGAGGTTTTGAGATAAGCCTCACCTGCACATGTGTTTTTTTTTTTAAATTATTTTTATTTTCTGTTTGATTCTTCTTTCAAAAAAAATAAAAAGTGCAAATAAACTAAACTAAAACTAATTAAGCTTTTGACGTTGCTGAAATGATTCAGTGTCGATGTTGATTTTAGGTTGCAGGGAAATGTAAATAACAGAAGCAGGAAAAAGAAGACGTAAACATTGTAATTCAATAAAGTGGACTGTGACACAGCAAAGTGTGAACACATATCTTCTTCCTTTTTTCAGTAAAACAAGAACATCCAAAGTATGTTTTAAAACAGCTGATCAGAAAAAACAACTCTAAAAGAAAGCAGAATCTGATGTGAAAACATAAAGAGAAGGAGAGAGAGTGAGAGAGAGAGAGAGTGAGAGAGTGAGAGAGAGAGAGAGAGTGAGTGTGAGAGAGAGAGAGAGTGTGTGAGAGAGAGAGAGAGAGACAGAGAGAGTGATAGAGAAAGAGACAGAGAGAGAGACAGAGAGAGAGTGAGAGAGAGACAGAGAGAGTTAGAGAGAGAGAGAGAGTGAGAGAGAGAGAGAGACAGAGAGAGAGAGTGAGAGAGAGAGAGAGACAGAGAGTGAGAGAGAGAGAGAGATACAGAGAGAGAGTGAGAGAGAGTGAGAGAGAGGAGAGAGAGAGAGAGAGAGAGAGAGTGAGAGAGAGAGTGAGAGACAGAGAGAGATACAGAGAGAGAGAGAGAGAGAGAGAGGGGAGAGAGAGAGAGAGAGAGAGAGAGAGAGAGAAGAGAGAGAGAGAGAGAGAGAGAGAGAGAGAGTGAGAGAGAGAGAGAGAGAGAGAGAGAGTGAGAGAGAGAGAGAGAGTGAGAGAGAGAGAGAGAGAGAGAGAGAGAGAGAGAGAGAGAGAGTGAGAGAGAGAGAGAGAGAGAGAGAGAGAGAGAGAGAGAGAGAGAGAGAGTGAGAGAGAGAGAGTGAGAGAGAGAGTGAGAGAGAGAGTGAGAGAGAGAGACAGAGTGAGAGAGAGAGAGTGAGAGAGACAGAGTGAGAGAGAGAGAGAGAGAGAGAGAGAGAGAGAGAGAGGTATGAAGGTTGTGCACATCTCTTCTCTGATGTTGACATAATTACAGGATCAGAGGGTGTGGCAGTCTTTAAGGAGGACCAGCCCACCACAGACCTGAAACAATACCCCCCCCCCCCCACATGCACACTGCAGATTTAAATAAAAACCTAGTTGCAGGAAAAAAAATTGGAGCCCTCCCTTGTGTGGCAGAAAATTAGAGACTAGTCTAAATATAACTCATCCTTTAAGTTTAAACAACTCCACATGGCTGCAGTTTATCTACCTGCAGAACTACAACCATGTGCTGACTTCATAAACACACACAAAGACTAAGATATCACACAGCAGACTATAAAAGGCAATACACTGAATAACCATCTTGATAAAGAAATGTGCTATCTGTACATGTAGGCTAACATTAGGTAGCATCAGTGCTCGCTTTAACTCGTTACCTTTTCGAGTCCGCTCGTTCAGCAAACAGCATCAACATACTGAAGCAGTTCCAGAACCCGAACCGGGTCAAAATAAAAGCCCCCAACTGGCTGAGAAACCGCAACGTCTGCTTCCTGCTGGGAGCTGCCATGGTTGCTTTGCTGCGCTGCCAAAACCAAAAAAAAAAAACACGACACCGCTTGCAGGGGAAGTCGAATGAGCTTCCGGTGAAGGAAAATACGACAACGCGTGTCGAAATAAAAGCTTGTAACGTCTTGCAGCGGAGAACGGTACTTTGATTTCGAACACGGGTGCTCTTATTTTGAAAAGGAATTCGGTGACATGGCAGAGGCGTTCTCCCATTGGCTGTGATGACAAAGTGGGCGGGACTGTTTCCGTTCAAAGGAGCAGGAGAGAAGAGGCACCGCCACCTAGAGGAGAAATACGATCCTTACATCAAATATAGGATGAAAACGAAATGCATTTTTATTTTGTAATTATATACATTTTATTTATAACGTATTACTTACTTATTTTCAAGCAGGTTATTGATAAGATGTGTTTATTAAAGAATTACAAAGAAAAAACAGAAATGTCAGCGCTTTCTTTTAAAATAATGTAAATAATGTATGTATTAATAAAGTGAGGAATTAAGGCTGCAAATAAGGTTTTTTTTCACAGAAAGGCTGTAAAAAGTATTTTCAGAACTTTCTTAATTCATTAGACTAAAAATAACATTATATTTTATTTTAAAACAACTGAAAGCACTATTTTAAATTATTCCTAACAGTCAGTAATATGATTCTAGTAACAAAATTATCATGCTGTATCCAAATTTTCCCTATTATTATCAATTAAAAGTTACATTTTATACTCCTTAACAAGTTTAAATACGCCTCAGAGGTCCACTAAATATGTCTGTGATGTTTGTTTTTAAAGATCCACTCTGATCCTGTATTTTATCATTCATATGAACCCCTTTGTTTCAGCCCTGCTCAGAACAGGCTGTTTCTGTGTCTGTAGCTTTAAAATGAGTTGTGTCTGTCCACGCTTGGGTGTCTCGGGCTTTCTTGCATCCTGCTCAATTGTGAGACGGTGGGACGGTGGGTGTGAGATGGCAGAATAAACACCTAGCTGTGGGAGTGTCAATCACATGTGGGAGGGGTTACTGCCCATTGTGATGTCACAAAGGGAAAATCTCCAAACAGCCTGTTTGAGCACACATTTTCTGAAAAGTGGAGCAGGTAAAAGATGGAGAGGATGAACTTTTCTCCGAATTGGAGGGTTTGTAGACAGACTAGGGACACATATTAGTGTTAAAAAACCATGGTAAAGTGTATTTTGTAGAATATGTGAGCTTTAAGAACTTAGAATAAAAAAATAACTAATCATTAAAATTACTTCTTACAGTGAATAACCTTTTATCTTTATGTATTTGTTAATTCCTCTGTTCTTCCATGTGCATATTTAACAGGTATTGTGCACTATTATTAACATGTAAATGAGCCATTGCTAATGTTTTATGGTTTCTTGTGTACGTACAGCAGTGAATATTTCTTATTAATAAGTATAAAATAAAATATAAAGATGATATGATGTTTGAGCTATGGGCAAAATCACACAAAACCAGTCACATATTGTGGTTACACTTGTAGATTGGTGGAGGTCTGTGCTCTCCATGTCCTTCTGGTTCAATAATAATTTCAGTACTTAAATTACCTCTTCAAAAACTCTCCAGAAAACGCTTCTTTTTTGTTTTTTTAAAAGCCCACACACTAATTAGTGTCAGTGAGACAGTCTGCCGACATCTTGCGGGTGAGCGTGAGTGGTTTAAAATATGGAGCCAACATAAGATGCATCAGGTGGGAGGGAAGTTTCTCATCAGGTGACAAGTTGCACTCACTGGTCCTTCATAATGACAGTGACGTACCTCGGGTTAATCTTGAGCAGATGAGACTAACCCAGATCCTGAAATGGCTTAGTGTGAGTCCTGCTGAAGGTTTAGTTAAGGATCAGGGGCGTGCCATGTCTCAGATAAAATGTCAGCTGGAGGTGATACGCTCAGAGTAACGAGAACTAGTTTCATAGTGCAATACGTTTTGATTCAATATTAAACTAAAGCTTCAGAGACATTAGATTGATTGAAAAGAGGCATGCACTTCATTGAACATTCACACACTGATTCTACTTTCCCTGGATCTTTTGCTGCGACATCAACAAGTAATTTAGACGCTTAACATCACATTTTTTGCACCAACACTGGACGGATCTCCTCACTATCAAATGCCTTTCAATAACCAACCGTCACAGGTAAACGTAAGATAGATAACATGTACACCTTTATTAGCATTCACAGGCCCTTCAAAGACTCGGGTTCTTCACCCTGCACAAGGAGACACAAGGATAAAATAAACACTCCTCACAGAAAGATGAAAAAGGAAAGTCTTATTTTACTTTCAGAGGTTTTTCCTTTTTGCAAACAAGAAATTAAAATACCATCAGTACAATGTTCAAAGACTGCAGGCATGATAAACATGTAGTCATCAGAAATGCCCAGATGTACATATGTACAAAAGAAATCCTGCAAAAGTGAATCAATTGACTCATGAAAAAAAAAAGTGTTGATTTTGTTTACAAGGTGGATGTAGCCTTTTAGCGTCCACAAATCATTGAAATGATTTTTGCAACACTTAGAGCAACTGATTGGATAAACTGCAAGATTAGAGTTTATAATCAAATCAGGGAGGAGACTTGGCCTCCTTGTGTTGCAAAGGGTTCGAGTAACTGCTGAAGATGTATTAAAGCACAAAGAAGAACAACAAATGTACACCTATTACTATATTCACACTTAGATGTGTACCAAATCAAAAACCAATCAAACATTGTGAATATATTGTTGTACATTGAGCTAGAGTTCAGGGTTGCAGCAGACAATACGATGTCCACAATCGTTTATTTCCAACGTCTCACTTTCTCCACCATGTCTATCTGCAGATCTGCATTGATCTGTGTTCTCTTACCTTCCTCCTTCCTGTCCAGGGGTTACGGCCCCTGATGGTTTAATCCCATCACGGGGGATTGCTGACATCAGGGCCAATCCTGTGCCGAGCAGCGGGGATCAGCTTGGATGAAGAGCAGTGGGACAGAACGGATCAGTCAGAGTGAAGAAGTGACCGGACAAGTTGAAGGAATACAGTCGATGAGCTCTTAGGAGCCAATACTTTTTTTCTGATTGTTGGGGATCCCGCCATTCAACAGGTAAAGATCGTTCTCTTGCTGGCTTTACGTTTATGTTGTCAATGGGATGTTTTTGAAAGTTAAATATTGTTTTTTTTTAATTCAGAAAAGTAGCATTATGCATCTTAAGAATAATCAATAGAAACTGTACGTTGTCACACTTTTACAAGGATGACAATAGTAGATTTTCAAGCTTTTTGTGGAACATTTTAACATTTTGATGTCAACTTTTCTCCTACAGCCAGGATGGCTCGGGATATGTCAGATAAGGAAATCCTGAAAATGGAGTTGGAACAGTTGAAGAAGGAAGTTAGCACAGCCAGGACACCAGTAAGTAAATGACCTCCTTTTTTTTTTTTTCAGCTCACCAAAACATATCTTGTAATGATGTCCAGAAGAATTTTTAAAAGATGACGGATGCAGGTTGCAAGAAGCTTTTTCCTCACTTGTGTGTTCCTCTCTTTCCTCTGAATCAACAGGTGGGTGCAAACTGCGCAGAAACAATTACTTTCGTGGAGGGACTGCTACCAAATGATCCGCTGATTAAGGGCGTCCCGGATGACAAGAACCCCTACAAGGGAGACAAGGGCGGCTGTATAGTAACATAGCACAGAGGAATCCAGGGGAAAAGTCACGCTGTTTTGTACGAGAGACGGTTACACTGCTGTAATGTTCCTGTAGACGTGTTGTGGAGAAAAATGTGCCGTAGTAGGAGAAATATAAGATTGTAACAGTGTTTTCACCTGGAGAGAGAGACCTGGATTACTGTACGTACCTGTTGATATGAAAATGTTTCTTTATCAATTTGTAATTAAATCCAAATAGCTGTGTAAAGCTTTGACCTGACCTGGCTGCTGTCCTCTTTGATATACTCTAGCATATCTCACTTTTATGACACTTTTACAACTCTTTGATTGTCAAGGGTATCACTTTGTTAACGTGGAACAGGATTGACGACAGACTTGTTTTCTGACGGTAAATCACAAAGCAGGACAAAGTCACAGGAGTCGTGCGGCTGCTGCTTAGTGTAATTCTTAATAGGATTTTAAGTCGGTCACACAGGCCTGTTGACACCGCGAGCTGCTTCCTGTATCAAAGGCTTTAAGCTTATTCCAGCAGCTTCATCCCGGCTTCCATTTCAAGCTCACCATCCAATTAGTGTCATTTTCAACCCATACACGACATGCATTCAACACCTGAAAACACAGCGCTGGGTACAATGAACTCCTTTATGAGTTTAAAGTCTGAGGTTTTAAAAGTGAATGAAGTCATGCAGCAGGGAGGTTTTCCAGTTTAATGAGCTTGTATGCAGCAAGCATCATAGTCTTTGAACAACCTGACCTGTTTCCCAGGATATAAAGTGACCTCACTATGGTCACCTATTATTCATGGATGATATTGGTTTAGTTTAAAGTAGAAGTTTTCTGCTTGCCGCAACAGAGAGAGCAAAACACAGTGTTAATCACTGAGGGCAAAGGTCGAAAATATGTGCATCTTTTTTTGTTGTGTAAAGACAATCAAAGGAGCACACTTCATGAAGGGAACCTCCACCTGCACGTGTTTAAAACAGTATATAAATCGTTTTGTGGCTCAGGAGCGAGCTGTGCAAGTTTGAAAAATGGCCTCACGTGATGTCACTTGAGTCAGTGTTGGTTCAGCGATAGGACTCCCAGTTTGAAAATGAAAAGACAAATCTGTGGTGTGGAGTTAAATGGAGTTTACCAAACATATTTTACTGACACATAATCTTAGATGGAGGTCCACTAACACAACCTGCATTTATTTCAATTAAAATGTCCCGGTGGCTGTCTGGTTCATTTAATTTTTCCAGCACGTTTTAAAGCTCTTCAGTCCTCTCTAGAATAACTAATAGCTGTAAAGACTCATCTACACATCAGAGTGATAAGAGAGGTTCAGGTCACTTGAAGAGTTTATAGAGTGGTCAGTTAACACGAGTTATAATTATTTAAGCTTTTCATTGTTCTTTCTTTCATCATGGAGGTGTGGTTATTGTTCAGGGTCACTTTGGGCCCACTGTAATAATTTTTCAAAGGTGTCCACTAATACTAGCAGCGCCCCTCTCTCTCTCACTTAATGAAATGTCTGCTGGGACAAATGTCACTTGAATGAAAAAAAAGGAAACATGGGATATGATTTATATACTCATTTTAGTACATTTCACTTTATGTTGTAAACACTATTCAAGCAATTTAAATAATTTGTCTGACCTTTAAATTCAGAACAGTTACTAAAGCAGCTTGTTTCTTTGCTGTTTAACACGTTATCACCGCTTCAGATTACATCTCTGGCTCAAAGTCAAATGAATCAGTGTCGTAGACGAGAACAAAGTCCACGCAAGACTGCATGAAAGGGTCGCACAGTTATCACACACGTCGAGTAACTTATGGACTTAGATTTCACAAAAACAATGATTATCTCACCTCGAGAGGAAAATGTTGTGGATACGTTGGGACAAGGACTTCAAATGTTATCAGAGAGAATTCAACAGAGAAACACCTCAGAAAATCATGACCCCCATGTTTTTTTACAAGGACACCAACGTCGTCTTTATCAGACCTTAAAGGTTAAAAACTCAAAGTGATTTCACACAGCGAGGCGGTTGTAAAGCTGTAAACGTTATAACTGCATGTATAAAGTAAAGGGTGGCTTTTAGTGTGTTTTATCTTAATTGTCTTATCAGATAAGATCAAATGTGACAATATGTAACCCATGCTTTTACATACTCTTATGAATGACTGACCTATAACACAACATATACGTACCTGCATAGAGGAGGAAAACAAAACGAGGAAAACCTTCAGACTACAACCAGACGGGTTATAAATGTGTAACTTTTAGAAATGTTAGCAGGAAATGGAACCTTTTGTTTTTATTTCAGTGACTCCTACATTTTATTCAGATTCTTTCCACAGTTTATGCTTTTTACTATTATTAAATAGTGCTTCTTTAAAATGAATATACTGTTATGATGAGTGAAATACCGAAAAGTTAATAAATTAATTGAGTTAAGGGCTTTTTTTTTTTTTTTTTAAGTTTTTGTGTGCTCACAAAATGCCTGATCAGCATTGGCATGTACTGTACACAGGCTGGCACATCACAATGTCACCAAAAGAAGTGGCTCTTTCACCACTTTATCTTTATTGCTTTCATAACATGAAAAAAAAAAAAGTGACATGTCACACTTCTACGCTGCTTCCCTAGAAAGACCTTTGACACCCCGCTGAATAAAAAGAGCCTCGAGAGTAGAGCAGTGCACAGACTGAACGACACTGAGCACAAGACAGTAGGGGAGTTGATAGTCGCTATGATGTGGCTCGTGATTTTCTTAGTGTGGTTGGCGATATGGGCCGGTGGCACATACTGGTACCTGTTTGGGAAAAGAAGCCCGTTCTCCCTGGAGTCAGTGAGACCCCCCGGCCCTCGGGAGTTTGATCAGAAGAAGCGTGACAAAGTCATCAAACAAGGTAAAATGATTTCAGATGAAAGAGAATTATGGCATCATCTTTATAAATTACCCCAGCTATGTAATGCATTGATAACAATGTTAGTAATCACAAAGTACTTTACACTTATAGTTATTACTTGTGTTAAATGTATAAGTCAAGGTACAACTTATTTCAAGAGTGAGTTAGAAAATGTTGTAATACCTTTAATGTTAAATCCATCCCAAGTCATTGCCTAATGCCTACTGCCTATAAAATAAAAAGTATTCACTGTTTTGTATTCGTTTTTTCAACCAACAAGAGCCCAAATTTATCAAAAAGAAAAATAAACAAAAAAACTAAATGTGCAAAAATCTTTATATTTTTACTCGTAACTTAGCTGTGAAAGAGATATGAAGACCTGATTTACAATCTTTCTCTCACAGTAAATTTGGATTTTGAGAACTATCAGATAATAAGCCTTTAAAGTGTAATCATTTAAATGTGTTAAAGGAAAATCACAGAGGAAACCGGGTTAGTAAACTTTAATAAGCGTCCTGGATAAGGTACACCTAAAGGCAACAAGGCCACAACTTAAAAAACTTGTGTTGTTCCTCTTATAATAGAAATATTTCAACAAACGTCCAGTGAAACATTTATCTATGCGTATTGAAACGGGGGCGGCAGTAGCTCAGTCTGTAGGGACTTGGAATGGGAACTGTAGGATCGCTGACTCAGTCCTGGTACTGACCAAGTCTGGATATTGGTCTGGTAGCTGGAGAGGTGCCATTTCACTTTCTGAGCACTTCCGATGTGCTCTTGAGCAAGGCATCGTTAAATTATTTTTCAAAGCTGGATACAGCATCAGACTATTGAGCCTGCTTATACAAATTAGTTTTGGGATATTTCAAGATAAAGAAACTTGAATTTACACTGAATGTCTTTCTACGACCCTCAACTTCCATTTATATTAATTCATAAGAGTCTTCAGTTGGTAGTTAAACCTTTAAAGAGTAAACCTGGTGGAAGAAGAAATACAGCTATAAATATATTTAAAGAAAACTATATGAGGCCTTCTGTACAATACACATCATCATTTTCTGTAGTTCTTATATCTGCTGAGGTGTGCTGATACAGTTATCTGATTGACCTATCTGCTGTCATAACTCAGTTTAGATTAGATCAGTTTAAATTAGCAGAGGCAGTCATTTTACTTCATCTGTGAGCCTTATCTAAATTAGATTATGACCACGAGATTATGTTAAATGTTCAATATCATGTTTATTGCCGATGAAAGATTACAGATTAAGGAACTGGGTACAGCAGACATGAATGTATATGATAGGAAAGGTGTGCAGTACAACTGTCGGATAATTACGTAACCCATTTATGCAACTTGTTTTGATGTCTCAGTTTCAGCACTTGCTCAAGATAACGATAACGTTTTCTGTGAACATCTGTTCTGCATTCGTCTGTCCAGGTTTCAGCATCGACAAAGTGCCCCAGAACCTGGATGCCATTGTCATTGGGAGTGGTATTGGTGGGCTGACAGCTGCAGCCACTCTGGCCAAAGCGGGAAAGAAAGTTCTGGTGCTGGAACAACACGACCAAGCAGGAGGCTGCTGCCACACTTACATAGAGAAAGGCTTTGAGTTTGATGTTGGTAAGAGGACTTTCAATTAATGTCACTGACACTTGTTTTCCAACATTTGAAGAGGAAATAGTGGACCCAAACAAACTAACAACAGCGTCGCCTTAGCTCTCACTGTTTTCAAACAGCCAGGGGTCCAAACATATATTCAGGGGTTTGAAACATCTTCCTATGGCAGCTAACAGCGGCTGGTTGGGTGTGTTCAAGGTTCAAACTGATGATGTACAATCTGTCAATGAATGTTTTCTTCCCTCCTTGACTTCCTCGAAATGGAGAAAAGAACAGGTATTCTTACCTGTTATGGTAAAAACCAAAGATCGTATCAGAAGGGACGATTAGAGGCTTTAAAAACGGGTCCACCATTGGATCCAGAGCAAGAAAAACAAATGTCCAAAAAGAGAAGACCTGGCTGATATTGGTGCAGCAAAAAACAGTAATCCTTGTTGTTGAATAGTCTGCTAGTTATTTGATCAAATGATAAACTTTTAAAATGATTTTGAAAATAACCCAGACTCTATAATTTCACAGCATTTGTCCTATCAACAGTTTCTAATTGAAACATATTTAACTATAATGTCCAGTAAGGAAGTGCAGGAAACCATCCGCAAACTGGAAGAATGTTATATTAATCAATCAATGAGATTCTTTGGCGACTCCAGTCTAGTTCGAGCCTCCCATCTTTTGCTGTTGATCACCCACTTGGCTTTCAATATTTCAACGATGTCTTCAATAGACAGAGTATGCAGACATTTTTGAAAATATGAACTTCAGTATTTATTGATTTGAAAAATAAACAATGCAATGGGGGATAGGATTGTGTTTTTATTGACAATGAATAACCACTTCTCCTGTTTCTGGTGTGTCCTCTCCAGGGCTTCACTACATAGGTCAGGTCCATGAGAACAGTCTGTTGCGTATTGCCTTTGACCAGATCTCTGAGGGTCAGCTGGAGTTTCAGGAGCTGAAACAGCACTTTGACACCATCCAGATTGGCCTCGGCGATGAGAAACGAGAGTACACCATCTTCTCTGGGAAATATGAAATGAAAGCTCACCTGTTGAAGCAATTCCCAGACGACACAGAGGCCATCGAGACGTTCTTCAAAATCATGAAGGTAAAGTTAGTTAGAAGACTCATGTTCCAGTGCCATATAACCAAAACATAACAATGAAAGTCTGAGTATGACCACATTTTTATGCATCCTAACAGATCTCAGCTAAGAAGACTCACTACCTGGCAACCCTGAAGCTAATCCCAAAGTGGGTTTCTTTATTCTTGCTTAAGTCAGGCATTGCAGACCTCGTCTCTCCAATTTTCCGTATCAGTGGTACAAATGCAACAGAATATGTGAACACCCTGACGAGCAACAAGGATCTCCATGTCATCTTTTCATATCTTTTCTACGGTGAGTCCTCAAAAATGTCACAGAAAGTAGAGACACATCTTTAAGTTTAAAAGTTAGACAATGAAAATGTATTATTCTCAAGTTTGTTTTCATCTTTAATGCCTTTATTTGATAGGACAGTTGATAGAGTGGGAAATCTGGAGTGAAAGTGGGGAATGTCTTGCGGGAAAGTAGCCGAAGGTTGACCCTAAGGACCACGGCACTATGTACATGGGGCATGACCCAACCGCTAGGCCATCAGTGCCCCATAGAAACTGTTTCTGTACAAATCCAATGTGCCATAGAAAGATCCAAAGCAACCAAATACAGAATATTTGTTCCATACATTTTGGACTGCACTGTTGTAATTGTCCAATTCTGATTAATTATCAACACTGCAAGAGACATGGAATAAGTGTTCAAGTGACACTCGAGTCTCCTCATAATTATATGAAGCCTTAGTTTTATCTGTTCTTTGTAATGTTCCTTCAAATTAGTTTTTCAGTGACATTAATTCTGAGTTTTAATTCCTGAGAGCCCTGAATAAACTGTTTATTATTCCTTCAATATAGAATTGGTTGAGTTAATTTATGCCTGGTACCCATTCCTGAATAAGACGTGTATATGATTTTGGTAACTAATAAAGGATCCTTTGTTCTGGGTATCTACAGGTGTGCCTCCAAGGGACTCGAGTGTTATGATCAATGCCCTCCTGATTCATCACTACAAACGGGGGGCCTTCTACCCCAAAGGTGGAGCCAGTGAGATCTCCTACCACATCGTTCGCACCATTCAGAAATATGGTGGAAACTGCCTGGTCAGAGCTCCCGTCACGCAGATCCTGGTTAATGAGAATGGAGCTGCTTATGGTAGGAAACTATTCCAGCTGTTTTTTTCCGCTGTTAAAAGAAAGATAAATTACAGGTAGTGTTACAGGTAACCTTCCTTTTTTGACAGGTGTGAAAGTGAAGAAAGGTCAAGAAGAACTGGAGGTTCATGCACCTGTGGTTGTATCAAACTGTGGCGTCTTCACCACCTTCCAGAAACTTCTTCCCCCGGAGATTCGAGTCAAGCCAGGTGAAAAACCAAACGTTATGAACTCAAATGAATTCTTAATAGGAACACATTGTATCATGAAAAAAAGTGCAGAAGGTGATTTTAAACTTCCGTGTTTAAGATATCCAAGCGAGACTGGACATGATGAAACATGGCAGAGGATCGTTCTTGGTCTTCAGTGGCTTTGATGGAACCGATGAAGAATTGGGACTCGAGTCCACCAACTTCTGGCTGTTCAAAGATAATGATATGGACAAATCGTAAGCATGCAGAGCACTAATCTCAATTTGTACCGTATGCATGGGTAGCATTAGTTGCCAAAAGAGGTCGCTATTGTATAAGAAGTAGGTATTCAATAACTTTATAGTTGCAGAACTAACTTCTCATTCCGGCCTGAAGATTTCTGTCTTTTAATAAGGCAGTTTTTTCTTACCACTGTAACTTTTGCTGCTTTGCTAAAGTGCTCATGATGGATTAAGCCAGGTCTTTGTAATATAGCATTAAGTAAGGTCTTTTACCTGCTTTTAGTAACAATGAGTAAGGTCTTTTTACCTGCTCTTTTGAAATATAAAAAACAAAGAGTAAGGTCTTTTACCTGCTTTTTGTAAAGTGTCTTGAGATAACACTTGTTATGAGTTGACGCTGTACAAATAAAAATGTATTGATTGATTGATTCACACATATATATCATTACTCTTGTAAATGCTACTTTAGCTACTGATTGTTATCATCTAGTTTAAGATTCATGAGTATTACCATAGAGGAAACATAAAGCAACACACATTACCCTGAAATCCCCCTTTTGTCCTCTAGATGGAGTGAAGGATCAGCCATGTTTTAGCTCCTGGATTTAAATAGCGTTCTTGTGAATACTTTCTGTGAGGCTTCACTTCTGATTAAAAAACAAAGCAGCCATGACTGCTCTGACACGGAGGAATGATGATCTGAACAAAACAACATCATCCGTTTTTATTTCTTCATTTAAGGATGGATGACTTCTTTGCATTGAGTAAAGAGGAAGCACCGGACAATATTCCCATGATGTTCATCACAATGCCATCTTCCAAAGACCCAGAAGCCAAACTAAGACACCCTGGTAAACCTCCCCGCCTTCCAATTATGTTTAAAGACAGAATGCCAACAAATAAAATGTATTTAAGGGTTAATACTGATCATACTGATTACTAAGGATGTCCTGTTGTGTGTCATGGTCACAGGCAAATGCTGCATGACAATACTGACGATGGTGAAATATGAATGGTTTGAGGAATGGAGCAACACCACAGTGCGCAAAAGGGGTGATGATTACTACAACTACAAAAGGAGATTTGCTGATAACCTCTTTGCCTGGGCCTGCACTCTATTCCCTAAAATCAAAGACAAGGTAGGATTGGTTGTTCTATGTAATACACAGATGCAATATGTTTGAGGATGTTTCTCGTTGGCACAAAACATTGATACGATTTATTCAATGCTCAAACTTTTTTAATCAATGGAACTAAAACTTAAAGCTATGAAACCTTGTAAGGGTTCATTTAGGGTCGAACTGCTTCAATGGTTAGTGTGTGTGTGAATAAAGACTGTCTACAATGTGATATATTGACTTGCTTTTTAGTTGGTTTTCCAAGACGTGGCAACCCCACTGAGCAACATGCACTATCTTGGAGCCCAGCGTGGCGCCATGTACTCTGCTGAACACAACCTCGACCGTTTCCAAGCTGAGGCTGTGGCAAGGAACAGAAGTGACACCCCCGTCAAAAACCTCTTCATCTCAGGTATGAAAACTTATAAACTTGGCCCAGGCTTTTCTGAACAAACAGCTGCAAGCACAGTAGGGACTTTATTCTTTTTGATTGAGAGTAGAAATCTTCACTTCAGGTATGGGAGTGTTCAACAGGCCCTGAAATTGATTCACTTGACGCTGGAGGGTTGGCAGCGATTTGAGAAATGACGAGTGTCTGTGCGGTTTATTTATACCGTACTAAATTAGAAAGCTTTTGTTGCAACAGGTAGAGCTAAACACTCTGACATAAGGAGGAAGTAACTAAAGCTTGCAAGAGAAACTCTACCTGGAGGGAAACACAGACAATAATTTGAATCCAGACTAAAGCTACGTTGTCCCATCCAGCAGGTTATATTCAAGTGTTTGTTCTTTTTCAGGCCAAGACGTGTTTAGCTGTGGGATAGCAGGAGCTCTGCACGGTGGACTCCTCTGCGCCTCTACAGTGTTGGATCACATCGTCTACATTGACTTGCTCTTCCTCAAGAAGAAGCTGAAGAAGAGGAAAGCCAAAGAGCTTGCCCAGCTGGCAAAGAAGAAGCTGCAGTGAGAGGGCTCTCTACTTCCCCTGCAGCACGTTTGTGGAACTACACAATCTGGATGCGAAAGGACCCTTGATTGTTGTGGGAAGCTAAAAAGGGACACACCACCACTAAGTCCCGGATTTATTCAATTTGCATGCATCGTATGTAGTTAGGCCGTAAGTGCACTTTTCTGTTAGTTGCAAGGAACAGATGTCATATCCTGTTTGGGCCCAATGGGAAAAAAATAGCACTCTAACAAATGGCTAGTTTTCATATTGAAAACATCATCAATAAGTAATATATGCATTTTGTTTTCAAATAATTTATGCTTGAGTGCAAAAATGCAAATTCATGTTTAAGGTTAAGTAGTATATCTTAAGAATTGTAAGCATGTAGTAGGTTTATTGTTTTTTTCTATTTGGATCACCAAAAAGGTTAATTTGCATTTTCTGCTTTGCCTTCCCAATAAATAAACCAATAGAAAAGACACACTCATGTCCATCCAAATACCCAAATCATAAAACTTTTAATGTGCTAAAACTGACTTTTTTGATAATCTATACATGTAACCAGTTCAAGAAACTTTCATCCCTGCACAATTTTGAAAAATGTTAAATTTGCTAGTTTAATCATTGTAAATATCTACCAAATTGGCATATAGGTAAAAATGGCAGTCCTAGAAATTTGTATTATAAAGAATCTTTTTGCATGTAGAAACCTTCATGTTTTGTGTAAATTATCCTTAAGTAAAAATAATAGCCAAAAATAAATTGTTTATCTATAAGGAGTAACTATTAAAATGTCTATTATGGGTCTTTTTTTTCTAATTATTTATGAACCACTTAGGCCTACAGGTGATTTGAGATTATAAGGGCCCTCTGGGTTTTAGTTCCCACCTATGTTGTTCTGACCTGACTTACAACCCCGGTGATGTTTGGGTAACTGCTTGAATCAAACGTATGGGGGGGAAACCTCAGACTTCCTGCACTAAGTGAACATTTCCTCAGTAAACGGAGGGCAGATTGGCTGACAAACTGTGGTCTGCAGGAGACGACAGAGTGGGATCCGAGGAGAAGAATGCCCCCTCTGTCCAGGCAGCCGGTGGGATGCCAGTGCCTCGCTCGCTCAATTTACCTCCATCCCTCTGCTGTACAAACCCAGGGAGAGCTCGGAGAGCGCCGGTGTGACACTCTCTACTGCTACCATTTTCCTTTCAATACTGTACTTCTGAATAAAAAGGCAAAAACCAAGGCAAGTTCAAGGAACAAATGACAAAATGGCAGGGATAAAGTTAATTATATTGCCATTGCCTGGCTGGAAGTTCAGTAGACCATAGCATATAATTACCATGGCATGATAAAGGCCAGTACTTCCCCAGAAAAAACCAAAGCATCTAACTCTTACTTTATACACTCAGTCAGTCTGACTGACTCATTTAGCTATAAAACAAACCCACCTTAACTCAGTTGACCCTCCTTTGGCCATGCTAGCAGTGTGTCTTTGGAGCATTGGTCATCACCACTTAAGTCCAAAATCAACTACATTAGTGATGTTTGGGAAATTGTCGTGCTGACTCTCTCGGTGAGGAATCCTACAGACTTTGGTGAAATCATTTCCCGTTATCACACTGATGTCCTTGATATTATTGTAAAAAGAATACTTTAAAAAGTTCTAACTAATGGGTTTAGTAATGATTTGTTCGCCATATATAAATTCTTTATAGGGAATATTTGAGCTTAACATCTGGGCCAAAGGTCTGGGTTGTCAAATCTAACTCATAACTGTTTATATTTCAATCCATATTGACCTAACTATCTACTCTGCCAATATTGGGTCATTTCTTATTTTTTAAATACCAAACATTTCAAGCAAACTCCTGCACACTTTCTAAATTGCATTTCGGTATTGGAAATGTATTTACGCAATTTAGAACGTACTCTTTCTTTTTCTCGCAGCAGCTTTGGGATAAAATATATCTGAAGATGTTTCTTGATAATAGAAATAATAGATTTTTAAAAACACCCAGTATCTAAAAGTACTGAACATTTTGACAATCTTAGAGATGAAAATGTTTTTTCAGAACATTGATTGTACAGCCATGTTTGATTTGATATCTTTCTTCTCGTACTAGTGAAGTTTCATTAAAGCCTTTATCACTTTCAAACTGTTAATGAAGTATATGTCAAAGTTACCAGTTGTTTATAAGACATGTCAACTATCTCAGTGACAATAACTCTCCTTATGTCTTTGATTTAACACTTTCAGTTCTTGGCTTGGCTTTATTTAGTCAGTAGGCTGTAATGAGCAGATCTGAGGAGGAATTTAAGGTTTTCTTGACCAGCACAAGCACCACCTCAACCCCCTTTCTCTTTTCTCTTCTTGCAGGCAGCTCCCACATGTTTAGACACGCTCTTACATCAGGGGGAGAGGCCCAGAGGGTTCGATCTCAAAACAGCAGTCCACTCTTTCCACTCTAAGACACTCTGTCCTAAACTCGTCATGCAGAAGATACACTCTTTTACATGAAATGTATGCATCAGAACAATAAGTTCAATGGTGATGAAGCCAATCCGAATTGTGACGACTTCAAGATAAAGCCTGCAGTGAACTTGCAAACACTGTAGCAGCAGGATTGGCTCAGAGAGAATTCATGTTGCTATGCTCTCGTCTCTGAGTTGCAGCCAGCTTTCCGTCTTTTCCAGATGTTGGAGCTCCTCCCCGCTGGCCTGCCGGAGCCTCCCACAGCTTGAACCCGGCCAGCAACCACAGCTGCTACCAATCTGAACACTCGCAAAAGAAAGTTTCAGACGACCCAGATGAGAGGAAGACCCAGACTGAAGATAGTACTGAGGACTAGACTGGGTTTAAAAGGATAAACAGGTGATACAAAGCAACACCAGCTCTTTTTAAGGGCCTTCTCCAGCTAAACAAGCATCTATTGATAAAGCAACACACCCTACTTAGATGTACATTTTCAAAAGAACTTTCCATTTGTATAGTCAGTCTTTAAAAGTCAGAATCAGTTTTTAAACAGAAAAGAGAAAAATTACTTAATTATATAACCAAATCAGACAAGAGCTGTTTCCCTTCTCAGCAGAGAAAACCTCTTCTCTGGTGTAGGATAAAAGCTGCGGATGGAGGCCAACTTTCTGCTGAGCTAAATGGAAAATCCAAGGAAAATGGCATTTTCCCCAAATCTTTGCTGTGCCTGAAGAATCTCTCTACAATCTGAAACACTACTGGTCTACTGGTCTGCACACTTGAAGCTCAGACTAACATCAAAATAATGTTTTTTTGTTTGCTCAGCATGATCTGCTCCAAACTCAACTGTCTACATTCGATGTTGGTTAATCTCTAGGTAGAAAAACAACCATTTGGACAATCGACTGATGGAAATGCAAAAAATCCAGTACATGCTTTTTAATTGCAATGATTTGCCAAGCAAGACATTTTATAAACCAATTTATAACCAATTGTGACTACCATACTGACATATCTAAAGGTGATATGCTTGAGCAAATCGTTGTTGTTTTTTTTACCCATCCAGCTACAGGAGCACTCACATCTGCGTTGCAGTTGTGTTTCTTTCAACCTGACGATTGAAGTCCAAATTCACTTTGGTTATAGCTCTTCTTCACCAGCACCTGAGGGAAATGATCTCTCGCTTCACCAGCTTAATTCTTCACTATGTTAACGCGCTGTTTGAGGCTATTAAGTAGGAAGTTGTCTTCAACCTGTAAAACATCTGCCTGCTACGGCTTAACGGCAACTGTTGGAGTCATGACGGTAAACCAAAACAGAAAGTTGTAGACGGGACAGCTAAACTACTAGCTGAAGATCCTTATGAAGCTCAGTCAAGCCAACATGAGCTGCAGATTCAGGTGATCATTTTCATTTCAAGCAACACCAACACACTAAATCAATGCGATCAGTTTATGCATTTGCTATTAAAGAAATACTGATTATAGCTGCTTTTGATTCAAGAAGAAAAATGTTCTGCAGACTAACGGTTGGCATTGTGTTCCCAAACTTAATAGGAAACTTAATCCGACATAATGCAAGACGCTGGGAAGATGGTGATGTCAGCATTGAAGACGAACTGCTTTGATTGACAGCTAGAAGTAAAAATCATCTCTTGTGGATAACATGTGTCATGCTGCCACTTTAAACGTCCTGCTTCACTACTTTTCCTTCAGATTCTACCATCTGAAGTATAGGATGTATAGTATGTACCTTGGCAGGCCTCTACTTTCCCTTCTCAGCTGCTTGCAATAGTCCCTGTGAAGCTGCTCTGCACATTTGATTGTAAATTATGTTGCATGATCCAGATTGGATGAAAAAGGGGGGAGAGAGGCAGGATTAGGGAGGCCCAGAGAGAGGAGAACATTTGGAGCTAAACTCTTTGTATAAGTTATACCACACCTCTTCATAAGTGAGTCATAATGCACTCTACCTCTACAGTCAGGCTCCTCCTCCAAAGTCAAGTTTACTCCCCTCTGCACCTGGCAGCGACAAACAGCTGACCTCTGACATCCAGGCTGCTTTTAAAGATTTTAACTATGACACGAAGGTCGCTTTTCAACCTCAACTTTGGTGCCTTTTTAGAGAAGGGCTACACATCGACAGGGATGGAGACACTGTTATAGAGAAGACAAAAGTAATCACCACCTGCTGAACCACAAAGCCACAACACTATATTATGTGATCATAGTGTACAGAGCTTCAGAGCCCGGCTTAGGATAAGAACCGCTCGCTGTAATCCAGTTCTGACATTAGATGGTTGTCAGTTTATAGGGGGGAAAAAAATCAAGAATTTGAAAAGTCATGTTTTTACACAGGAGATGGCAATACTAGCAACACTTTAAGTTAAATAGGAGGAACACGCACACATCAAACTAAATAACATTAAAAAAAAAACACTCCTCTGTTTGAATCAAAGAGTTCCTCTCTCAAATCTTTCACACCCATCTGCACTTTGTGTCCACAGCTCCTCCTCCTCCCAGCAGATGCTTAAGAGATGATCCACAGTTCTCACATTTCATCCCACCACCCCCCCCATCCCCACCTCCACCGACCCACATCTTAAAAGCCCACCCTCCACTGAGTTTTAACCTCATCAGCCTAACGCATCCGCATTCGTCATCACCAGTGTTTACAAGACGAGCCAGCTTGTGTCGTTTTTTAGTCTAAAATATTGGAGACAGTACATATGCACTAGAGGGGGCTCTTCAGTGGGTGTGATTCCCAGCCAACCCTCACAAAGAGATGACTCCTCAACACATGGTTTGGATACACACAGTAAAAACTGTTGGGTTTATGTGGCAGTTTTTCCTTGTTCGAAATGGGGCTTCAACAAAAGAAGATGTAAACTGCTGAACAGATTTAAAAGCTTTAAGGTTAAATATGTCATAAGGGGGAGACAGAAATAAACTTTATGTTGTATTCCTCAACAGGAAAAGAGGGAGACTGAAGGTGTTTGCGTTTAATTGTTAATTTTTAGGTTTGATTTTGTTGCATTGAAAGGCAACACATATGTCTCAATGCACTTCTCTGGATTTGTGCCGGGGTTCAAACTCTCTCTACATTATGCAAAGTGTCCACAGTTTGCTGAGACATGTTTCCGTCTTGTGATCCTCACACACAAACTGTTTGCTTTTCCACTTACCACATACATGAGAAACATTCAGCCAGAAGGTGGCACACTCAAGTCCCCACATGGTCTCAAAAGCCTTTTGACTCAGACTAATACTTTGGCCACATCATGTCTAATGTGTTCAACAATAAAGTACCTGAACTGCAGCTGACTAAAACTGAT